GTTATACTTAAATACATAATAACCTCCGTTAACAAAACTGTCTCCTTTTAAAATGTGTTATTACCTCCCTTTAAAAAAGGTGACAAAATTAAACACATTATCCTGAAACCAATAAAATATTAAAGTTTAGAACCACCTGATATATGCTGTGTTGTTTTCTCAACCCTTTCAAATGCTATCCAGCTAAATATCCGCGCAGTCTGATCATGATCCATGCTGTTAGCTTTCAAACCCTATTACAAGTAGAGAAACTGATAGCGAACAGCATGGATCCTGATCAGACTGCGCGGATGCGCAGGCTGGCCTGGATCCATGCTGGTCGCAAACGCATAATGTTGGTTTTGTCATGACGCGGCTCATTTTTAAATATATTTCCCTCTTAAAATGCTATTATTTTTGTTTATAAAACTTCCTTTGAACTATTTTCATTAATTACTCTAACATGACACCGATCTATTTTGTCCTCGAATCTTTAGGCTTTGATCACTGAAAAATGTTTCTACAGTTGATTTATGTTTTCAATGAAATACATGTCATTGTTATTCCATGTAATATAAGCATTCAGTTTGTTTATTTCTTTTCTGATAAAAGCAGTACATTGTATTAGGTATCAGATCATATTTTACTTTTCTACTTTAAAGGAATACCATTTGAATTGTTAAACATGATTTACGTGCAAAATACACACTTGGTATATTAAAGGCACATTATGCCTCAGAAAAGTAAGAATATTATATTTACTTCTTTAGAAACAGCAAACATGAACTTTTAGAGCATGTTTAAAAGCTAAAAGTGTTGCCTGAAGAAAGTAGTAACGCTAAATGTGAAAAGAATATATGTGCCATAAATGTAGCAAAATGTAAACTAATTATTATTTTGACTTTAACTTTATCACTATAACTGTACTAACAATGCCATTAAGCAACAGTTAAACAAGAATCGTCCGGGCAATTTGGCCAATAAGTAAAGTTAAGAAAACATTAAAAAGACAAAAAATATAAAAGTTTTTGAGAAATAAAAATAAAAGTATTTTTAAAACATAGGGGGCCTTTAATGACAAAAATGTTGGCAAATTGAAAAGAAATAAAAAATTTGCAAACCAAGTAAAATCCGTTGAGTTATAACATGAGAATGCTAAAAGCATTATCAAAAATGCATGACAGAATGAAATTCATTTATTGACATTGATGTTTTGTCGCTGTTGTTCACAAAGGGTAATGGTAATTGTATAACCAAATGTTTGAACACTGAAATATGTCAACATTGTCTGTGTGGATATTTCAACAAGTACGGCATCATCTAACGTGTTTTAACTTTAATTAATGCTTTTAATACTGCTTTATTTCTACAGTGTTTTCTTTGCAATTGTTTTGCAGCAATATAAAATTCTAGATAAAATTGTAGGCTCTAATTAATCATTTATTGAATGACAATAATCTACAATGGACATATAGCAAAATAAAGCTTTTAAAATTGTTTGCCTGAAATCGTAAATATATTAAAATACTTTGTACAAATAACTTGATAGATAACTATGCTTGAAAAAAAAACACAATTTAGGGAAGCAGTTACAGGGCTATTGAAGAGGGATAAATAGTATTACTGCTAAATTTGTGAAGGCAAAACCCATGGCTCTTAATACCTTATAGGGTCCTGAGGAAAAAACGAATTTTGTGTAAAATACTTATTTCTAAAGCAAAGTTCAGTAAGGGTCTAATATGCTGAAGGCAGCTAGGTGAATATTCTTTCATCATTTTTTTCTTTTAGCGAAATTTTCTCAATAATATGGGGAAAAAATATATAAATTGAGGTGGGAAATGGTCAAAAATCTTGAAACTCTGGCTTGGAAACCAAGGCAGACAACTTCACAAGCCATAAAAAAGAGATGAAAAGATCACATGTACAGTTGTTTCCCTTTAAAATACTTATCCAATGGTTTTAATATTTTAATAAAGAATGTCCTTTTAAATGTAAGACATGCCCTAAAAGATGGAAACAAATCTAATTTAAGGTGCAGGTCAAAATGCTCTCATAAAAATGATTTAATTAGAATACAATAGAATAGAATAGAACAAATTTTATTTCCAATTATGGGACTTTTCAGGCAAATAATCAACAATAATACGAGTAATAATGTATAAGATGTACATGACTTAATATATATAACATAACTAAAACTTGATTATGATTAATTAACATAATTGAAGATAGGCATTGTACTTGTAACTGATAAGCAACTAAAGCATTTTAAATGATAACACTGAGAATAAAGGAGAAAAATAAAAGATAATATTAATAAAAATTCCATTTCACCAGAACATGTCATATGGTCCTTTACCTACATGTAACTCTATTATATTTCTTGCCAACCAGAAGATCTATTTAATACTGTCGACAGTCCAAAAAAATCTATGTTACATGTTTTATACAAATAATTGTAAACATAATTTTTTATACATGTGAACTTTTTTTGATGATCAAGTGGGAGATTTTTCTTCAAAATGAAGGAGATTTTAGAATTTGCAATAAACAAAGAAGGAAGTTCTGATATCAAAAATAGGGAGTTTTGTGAAAATACCCCTCATTTTAAGAAAAATATTTGAAAATATGGCTGCAGAAAGTGGCAGTCTCCCGCTAAAAGTGTATGTAAAAGTTGAAAAATATTAGTATTATTAAAGATATAATTATGAACCTAGTTGAAACACATTTCTGAATAATAAGCATTTTTTTAAATTTTGAATATGTTCTAAATTTTAAATAAGTTCTTAATTTTTCACTTTGCCTTTTGCAGCACATCACAATCATGTATCTAAAATTTGAATTTAAATTCACTTACAGCACAGATTTTAACAATTTTTGATAATTTCTTACTTAAAATGCTGCTGCTAGAATTACAGAATACATGTTGATACTTTTAATTTGTCAAAGAGCATCTGATGATACTCTCTACCAAGCTATTTTTATTTTTTGTATGAAGGGAATAATAAGCTTTTTTAACTGTCTTCATAAATGTTCTCAATAATAATCATTCTGAGTTAAGAAAATGCACAAGTCAAATATATGTGTGAAGAAACTTTTAAAAAAGTTCATCTGAAAAGTAATTTTTGTAATATATTGGGTAGTTAATGTTACATCAGTATTATTTGATTCATTTCATGATTATTTGAACAGGACAGTGTCTGGTGTGCCTGGCAGATGTATGCTCACATAAATACTGTATTTGCAGCGTTTGCCTGTGGGCTAATTAACCCAACATGTTTTAATCTAACTACTTTATCGGTATACAGACTACAATAGATTAATATAAGACTATAAGAGAAAACTTTTTAGGGTTTTATATGTTAAATGTATAAACATTCACATCATGTAACTGAAGATTGGCATTTTGTTGAAATATTTATGACATTTGAAGTTTTGTTTATAATATAATGCAATGTGCATCTGACCATCTGTTGGCAGCTCATTTTCTTATGAATTGCCGTTAAAAAAAAAATTGAATGAGTCTAAACAGGTCCTGTTGAAACTGGGCCACTTACAGTAATTAGTGTCAAATACATACAGTAATAAAATATCATTACAAGATAACTGATTACACTACAGTATTACAATTTAAACTTTAGTAAAATCGTCAATTGGTACTTACTAAAATTATAGAATCTATCTCAGAATGAGATTAGAACAAGGGCTATCAGTGATGACATGTGTCATCTCATGACCTATAATCCTGTAAAGTTTCATTGGCATTGCATCAGTGGTATAAGAGGCCAGAAGTCTGGTCAAATTTTAAAAATCAAAATCATTAAAGGGACATAACTCTGACAAAAATCATTTAATCGAAAAATGTTGAGATGCACAACTAGACATAGTATTGATAATTCCTGTAAAATTTTGATGAAATTGCACCAGTAGTTTCTTAAGAGTAGTCTAAACAAGTAGCTTGCAACACAAAATACACATTTTTTATTGAAGGGCCACAACTCAGCATAAATCATTCAAGTCGAAAAACCTGTATTACATGCAGAAGAACTTGAGCTACCAATCAACCCTGTGAAATTTCTCAGTGGTACAAGAGGAGATTCAGGTCAAACTTTATTAGCACCTTTTTTTATTCAAGGGCCATAACTCCCCAAAAAATCATTCAAGTGGAAAACTGGTGTAATATGTACAAGTACTTGAGCTATCTATGAATCCTGTATAATTTCACTGAAATTGCATCAGTAATATAAAAGAGTAGTCCGGACAAACTTTGAAAATAAAAATAAATAAAGGGCCATAACTCTGACAAAAATCATTAAACCAAAAAAAGCTGATATATGCACAACTAGACTTGGTACCGACTATTCCTGTACAGTTTGGATGAAATTGCGCCAGTTGTTTCTAAGGAGTAGTCCAAACAAGATTCTGCATCATTACCTGGCAACATACAAAAAACACCTTTTTTTACTCAAGGGTCATAACTCTGCCAAAAATCATTCAACCAGAAAACCCTTGAAATATGCCCGAGTACTGGAGCCAGAGATGAATCCTGTAAAAGTCAAAGACAGACAAATGGGCAGACAGACGATGTAAAAGTGATCCCTATATGTTGCCACTACAGTACTCCGTAGAGGCAACATAAAAATGTAGCCTGGTCATATAGAATAATAAATATATAGTTTACTGTTGAGATTAAATTATTTAAGTATTTTGTTGTGGTTGCTAATCATAATTAAGCTTTAGTCATGTTATGTTTAAGTTATGTACATCTTGTGATTAGACCCCTTAGTATATTTCTGAAGTAAAAATATGTGATTTAAAGCCTACGATTGTCAAGTCAAAGTTTATTCTTGTCTATTCAGTAGACTACAGTAGGGCAATTTGTGAATAATGTGGTACAGTACGAGTGATAATATAGGGCAGCTCAGTACGTAAGCTTATACAGTAAATATTCAATTCCGTTACTTTTACCAGGTTGTTTAATCTATTTACTGTTATTCAATCAAAGCTATTTAATTACTTACCTGAGGCACACCTGATTGTTTACATTCGACAAGTTGACAAAGTTTATACCGCACGTTTCGGTCATTCAGTTGTAGCGCAAACATCCAAGGTGATCCGACAAAATATAAAAGGGGAGGAACTCTTATTTACTGTTCAAGATGTCCTCAAAAAAGAAGGATTTGTTTTCATATTTAGCTCTTTATGATGAAAATAGGGAAGGACAGTCATTTGTGCCGCTGTCAATGGGTGCACCAGGACCAGAGACGTTGAGGGGCTGTAGTCAAATGCTGGCACAATCCACCCAATTACTTTTAGTTAGTATCATATTAAACTGTCATTGAACAGATCTTAACAGGTGTACTCGTCTGCTAGTACATGTATCAATGTTTTTCTGATGTTGTTTAATGTAATACTAAAAGGTATGGTGTAAAGATTTTAAAATGTGGTGCTATTTGTTATATAAAGGTGCTATTTGTTATAGATCTATAAAAAGTAAAACAGCTGTACCTAAAAGTGTTTTTTTTACAATTAATGAACAGATGAAATATTAGTCCTACATGTACGTTGTCATTTACTAGACTCTGACTGTATGTGTACATTGATATAGAAAAATAGTCACTAAAAAGCTTACCAGTTTGAGTAAAGCTCTATAGGGTTTACCTGTCTTTATTATTCAACACCAGAAGGGGAAGGAGGTGAATAGAAAAACAGCTGGTCATTTAAAAAAAAAATGTAAATTGTTCACAACATCAATTTTGGGGAGGCTGTTCAGTATTTTTGGGTAATAATGAATACTTTTTACATGGGTGGGTACTGTCAAGTATACATACTAAAGGCCAGGACAACAATAACCCAAACCACTTTTTATTATGTTTGGAGTTCTTGTGTATAAATTGTCTAACACATAAAAGCCTACATTTTAAGGTCTTTTATTAAACAAGTATAAACCTTACAACATGTACCTTTACACATTGCAGTGTCTGACAAGAATTTAATATGTATATTAATAAGTTAATGTGTATTTAAAGCATGTTTAAAGTCAACACTGTTGGTATTTAAGATGCATGGGCATGATTAGAATACTGACATATAGCTGTTAGCTTTCAAATTGTTGATCCTTACACTAATATGACTTTTTATATATACATTTCAGTAATTATGTCAGGATATAGTATTTAAATGTATCTATATGAGATTTATCAAGTTAATAACATTTAAGGTAAAATATTTGAATCAGTGCACTCTCATTTATTGGGAGAGAAAAAAGACAGCTGGAACCATATTTTCTAACTGTTTTAAATGAATGTGACATTTTAATTTGTCCGTTACCCGTTTTAAAGTTGTTGTTGTTGTTTTATTTTTTATTTTGGTCAGTATAGTTTAAGATTTACATGGACTTTTACTTCATAAATAATTATAGCTGTTCTGAGAAGAATTAAAACTGTCATTCAGAATTAAGGATAAGGAATTTCCAGTGTGTTTTGTTAAAGCTATGAGTGAAGATAGACAATCAGAAGGTGTAGGGAGACAGTTATTATATGATGAGTCATGTATTATGAATGAGTGGTGGACCGACCAGGACCACACTTTACCTTCTGTTGGTAACATCATACACGTCTGCAACACGACTGGACTTCTTGGAGTGCAATACTGAATTTATTAATGCCATGTGTTTCTGCCCATGAGTGAAATTATGGATACTGCATACAGAATGCCATGTGTTTCTGGCATGAGTGAATTAGAATAGTCTGCATATTAATACCATGTGTTTCTGCCATGAGTTAATTAGGGTACTGCATAAAAATGCCATGTGTTTCTGCCATTAGTTTGAATTAAGACTATGCATATTAATACCAAATCGACGTGTTCCGCCATTAGTGAATTAGGCATAGTCTGCATATCAATCACCCTACTGCTCTCGCCATGCCACGTGAATTAGGAATACTGCATAAAAATGCCTATGTGCTTTTCTGCTCATGAGTTGGCAATTTTACGACCTTCTGCCCATACCTTAATTGCCCATGTGTTTCTGCCATGAATTAATTAGGATAGTCTGCATATTAATACCATGTGTTTCTGCCATGATTTTAAATTAAGATTCTCCATAAAAATGCCATGTGTGTGTTTCTGGCATGAGTTTGAATTTAGATTCTGCCTATTAATGCCACATGTTTCTGCCATGAGTGAATTAGGATGGTCTGCATATTAATACTATGTGTTTCTGCCATGAGTGAATTAGGATAATGCAGAAAAGTGCCATGTGTTTCTGCCATGAGTTTGAATATCAATACCATGTGTTTCTGTCATGAGTGAATTAGGATACTCTGCATAAAAATGCCATGTGTTTCTGCTAAGATTCTGCATATTAATACCATGTGTTTCTGCTGAGTGAATAAGGATAGTCTGCATATTAATACTATGTGTTTCTGCCATGAGTGAATTAGGATACTGCATAAAAATGCCATGTGTTTCTGCCATGAGTTTGAATTAAGATTCTGCATATTAATGCCATGTGTTTCTGCCATGAGTGAATTAGGATAGTCTGCATGTTAATACTATGTGTTTCTGCCATGAATGAATTAGGATACTGCATAAAAATGCCATGTGTTTCTGCCATGAGTTTGAATTAAGATTCTGCATATTAATACCATGTGTTTCTGTCATGAGTGAATTAGGATAGTCTGCATATTAATACTATGTGTTTCTGTCGTGAGTGAATTAGGATACTTTATATTAATGCCATATGTTTTTCAGTAATAAGTTATTTTTAAAAACAAGTTATGTAAAAGAAAGACAAGCTGTTGTCTGTTTCCATAACAATTGGTTACTTATCTCCGTATCTCTTCTTTTAATGAAGTTGACCATAGTCAGAACCCAAATGTACTGATTAATGGCTGACCTACATTCATCATGTGAATGAAATGTAAAATAACAAGAATGCATGGATTACCGAGGATGATGTAGTACATTGTACTTTAAGATTTAAAAAAAGAAGAGAAAGCTGATACTGATACTGATAATATAAAATACTGATTTTATTTTACAGGCTGATGCTAAAGAAGAGCAGTTCACATTTCAATATGGTCCATGCAAAGGTGACCCAGGCTTCTGTGAGGAACTTGCCAAATTTCTGACAGAACAGTATGGGGACACAGTTAACAGGTTAGATATTTTAACCAAGCACTGTTATTATAGGGCATTTAATATGAAGATATGGTAAATAAATTTGAAAAATAAACCAAATTTAGTTTTAACATAATCTTATGTAATAAGTTTATCAAGGACAAAAAATAATTCATTTTGTTTCATTCAATTTAAGTTCATGTTAAGCATTTAATTGAAGGTACATTTTTTCATGTATATAATAAAAGTAAAATTACATGAATGTACTAATAACTGACTGATTGATTGTATTGCTCTTTTTGATTTCATCATGTTGTTTTCCCACTCACCCTATGAGCTCAGAGGATACATGACTTTACACAATCAACTCTAGCTTTACAATTCACCAAAATAGCACATTTATGTAAATTTCCCTGTGTATACCTCTCAGTTCTTATTTTACTGAAAATCTTTGTATGTATAATTCACATCATTTCAAATAGTGTGATATGATTTATATCTCACTGATATATTTTAGTATGTTATTGTATTTAGCATAAGATAAATACTTGTGTATGTAGTATCAGAAATTTGGTTGTTACATCTAATTTTCTTATAAATATTTCAGTGAAGATCTCATGGTGACAGCTGGGGCCACACAAGGCTTGCATTTGATTGCTTCTGTTATGTTTGATAAAGACACCCCTGTGTTTATGGAAGATCCTTCATACTTCATAGCAGTCAAAATACTCACAGATGACTTTGGAATGAATATAGTACCAAGTATGTTGTTGTTATTGTTGTTTACCTTCATTGATCTTTTTAATCAGTTTTAATAGCATGTTATACCATTGTTGATTGATAAACCCTTAACCTGATGAATTTAAGTCATGGGTTTGCCAAAGTTAGAATTTCGTATAGTCCATTTAAAGATTTTGACAAGACAGGACTCTGAATAATTTTTTTGAGATAAATGTTGCATTTCATTTAGATCTAGACCAATATCTTGTGTGAATTATAGATTTGTTATGTTAAAGATTCTTGACATGCTAATTATGGCCATATATAAACGGTTATTTGCAATATAATCCTCGATCACCAGAAGTGGCTCAAACTTTTTTAACTTACATTACATCATATAATAATCAGACTTTATACATGAAAATAAGTGCAAAATGGCAATAATTGACATGGCATGTAGGGGCCTACGTGGGCGAGTGGTTAAGGTCGTTGACTTCAAACCACTTGCCCAACACTGCTGTGGGTTCGAATCCTGACAGGGACTTTGGATTCTTTCATGTGAGGAAGCTATCCAGCTACCTTACGGAACATCGGTGGTTCTACTCGGGTGCCTGTTCGTGCCTGAAATACTGCACAGAAGGGCTCCTGAGGTCTTCCTCCACTAGTAAAGCTTGAACGTTGCCAAATGACCTATACTGTGTGGGTGTGACATAAAACCCAATCAAAGAAAGACACGGCATAGTCATGACATCATGAAAATGTTTAACTATTTTGCATTCTTCACTGCGTCCTTTAATAGATATACCAGGAACAAACATAGTTTATGTCACTCAGTTTTAAACAGTGAGATATTTTTCCATATCTCACTGATAAACATGATGTATTTTGTTTTTATCTTATTAACGTGATGTTTCAGTCCCGACGGGTGATGACGGAATAGATTTAGTGGTATTAGAGGAACAGTTAAAGAAATATCGGCCAGCATCTACAGAGAAATGTAAAACACCCTTTTGGAGTATGGTTTATACTATTCCTGTATTTAACAATCCCAAGGGATACTCCATGTCACCAGGTCTTGTATATACTGATCATTGTTCTATCTCTACAAGTTAAATATAGTTAAAGGCATTATGTGTATGGATTTATGTTAAGTAATCAATATAAGAGTACAAGTTCTGAGCTTTGTGGTCTGGTTTTTTTATGTTTTTGATAAAATGGAAATTTGTTACACCATTTGTTCTCATAATATAATATCAGTAGTTCATATTGAGAAGTAGGTGCACAAATAGTTGTGTAGTCAAATATAAAAAGTTTCAAGCCTTTATACTATTGAACTGTTGTTTTTTTTAAACTGCTAACCCAGAGAATTTTATTTGCCTTTCAACTTTTTTAAATTTTTCTTTACAATGTATACTGATATATAAAGTTATGAATTATGCTTGGGCAAGTTAGACTGTAAGTCAGTTTAAATATACATGTATTGAAGTGCCAAAGCTAGATTCTGAGATATTTTTGTACTGGGTCAGAATCTCGCTTTTATACGTAGAGGGGATATATTGCCCATGCTTAAAATAGCACCATGTCTCATCAGAAAGTACAATTAACACACAAGTGATGGCGTCTTTACACAAAGTCTGTCATTTGATATTTTGTTTGCTTGCATTACAGAGAAATGTAAGGCACTGGTGGCACTAGGTCGGAAATATGATGTTCTGTTGTTTGCGGAAGATGTCTATAACTTATTACACTACTCGGGTGAACCCCACCCACCACCAAGACTTCTGTCATATGATAATAGGTATTCACTTTATTTTGTTGATGTCAGGGCAATATCTGTTTGTTATTATGATATAGGAAGTATGTAAAAATGTTAGTAAAGAGGCTAAAACTTGTTATTTGTGCTAATGGTAAGTTACACTAAAGAGCAATGCGAACAAAAGAAATGAAAAAGTGAAAATTAATAAATGCTGACAGAGAAAATGAAAAGAGCATTCCCCTTTAACCTTGGATGTGGTAGTGTTGGAAGTTTTCACTCCGGATCATGGCAGTAAGCCACATTGAATTTACCAGAGCACAGTTCAGCCACTGCATCGTTCCAGTGGGCAGGCTGTCAAGCAGTTTACTAGTACCTGTTGCCTTCACTTCTGTACATACAAGAGCAGAGGTACAGTGTGAATGACCATAGAAAATATTTGAAGTTTTCTAACCTTTAACCCATACCAAAATGATGCTTAATATCTTTATTATAAACATGATTAAAGGGGGCAAGCCTGCAGATATTATGCTAATTTTCATGAAAATTTTAAAAATGTATTAAAAAGTAAAATATGAAAACTTATGTAAATTACCGAAAAGATGTCAAAGCCTGCAAAAATTGCCCTTACTGAATAAGTAACACAGCAGAAATATGGTGAAAAATACTGCAAAATCACTTTTAAATGGTATGAAAATTATTATGTTTATCATGAGTCTTTTTAGTTTTCTTAAAATCACTATAATACTTGTTCTTGAAATATTTTGGCTTATCTGGAAGCATGCAGCTTTAAGACTTCCAAAGGTCATCTTTTCTTTGTATTACATACATTTTTGAATTCTTTTTTTTTAATACCCAACTTCATGCATGGAATTTGTGTACTTTAATTCTCTCTTTGTTTTCAAGGTCAGATGAAGATTTTCAAGGAAATGTTTTGTCAAACTGCACATTTTCCAAAATTCTTGCCCCAGGATTGCGGTTGGGTTGGATAGAGGCACCACCTAGAATCATGAAATATATAGAAACAAGGTAATATAATTGTACACTATGGTCATTATATTCTTGTAAAAAATGCTGATCAGTATTAAACATATTTTATGGCAATTTTGTTGCTGAGTGGTTAAGATGGCTGTCCTAATGTCTTGCATATCATAATGTTATGCTTGGGATATCCCTATGTGATCTGAAATCCCACAAGAGAAATAAGAAAATATTGTCATAAACAAAATGATGAAACTAGTCTAGCTGCTGCCAAAAGAAAAATGTGGTTCTACTCACTTTGCCCAATTTGTATCTGCATTTATACATAAAGGAAAATAATCAAGTAATTATAAGGTTGTTTCTTACTATTCTGTTGCAGGTAATTTGCAATATAAGCTCAGTTATATTGCAGTGACTTAAAACTTAGCCCATACATGCCATAATGTTCTGACATTCAAGATTGTCCCAGAAATATGTTGACTGTCATGGAGGCATCCAGGATTGTCCCAGGAATATGTTGACTGTCATTGAGGCATCCAGGATTGTCCCAGAAATATGTTGACTGTCATGGAGGCATCCAGGATTGTCCCAGGAATATGTTGACTGTCATGGAGGCATCCAGGATTGTCCCAGGAATATGTTGACTGTCATGGAGGCATCCAGGATTGTCCCAGGAATATGTTGACTGTCATGGAGGCATCCAGGATTGTCCCAGAAATATGTTGATTGTCAAGATGGTATCCAGGAGATGATTTATTGCCCATTCAAATAGAAATCTGAAATAACATCCTTGGCAGCAAGAACAATTACATTTATATATACATTGAATATACATGTATATTCTATAATGTTGATATCTTAACATACACCAAAGTATATGTACATGTATGTGTTCTTTAAAACAAAATGAACAAACAAAAAATGTTGCATTTATTTCACAGTTTGGTTTATATTTAATTGCTAGTAAGTTTATTTATTTCTGAACAGGCAGAACATTTATCAATAATTTGTTTCTTATGACCTCCCTTTATTTGCAGAAATTGACAAATACTACCATATCTGTGTAATGCTTTCTTTAACTTCTGATATTGGTAATTCTTCATTTGAATAAAAGGGCTATCATAGAAAAGCATAAAATTTAAAGATATATTTACAGAGACTTTAAGTAAGCTCCAATAATGTTGTCCAAGGTTAATCTGGTCTGGCTGCAAGAGCTCATTACTTTCACATAGATTTATATGACAAGTCTCTTGCCAGAAACAATGTGACAAAGATTTTGATCTAACATTGTTAATTACTTTTTAACCTAGTTCGGTTCAAGTTATTCCCCATAGGCAAAGATTGGCCCTGCTCTTTAAATAAACCAGAAATGTACATAGAAGTCAATGTATGTACATGCAAGAACTTACTGACTTGAAAATAAATTATACACATATCAGATAATCCAAAAAGCATGCTTGTCTTGAAAATTAATTATACTCATAACAGGAAAATATGCTTGTCTTGGGACTTAATTATACTCATTTCTGGAAAATATGCTTGTCTTGAAACTTAATTACTATTGTATACTTACAATGTATAACAGGAAAATATGCCTGTCTTGAAAATAATCTGTCCTAGAAAATACACAAATAGCAAAACAAAAATTGAAATAAAGATTTAAGGGAATAACTATTGAAATGTTTTTATTTTCATCATATTTTTATACTGGTAAATCTACTATTTTATTTGTTTTCAGTAAAGTGGCATGGAGTGGTGGCTCGTTTAATCATTACACATCAAAAGTTGTGGCAACAGCTTTGAAGAAGGGTTTCTTAACATCACATGTGCAACTACTGAGAAAAGACTACACAGTAATGATATGATTTCTGTACCCCATCCCCTTTTTACCTCAATGATATGATTTTTTCTACCCCACCCCTTTTTGTGTCGCCTTGAAAAAGGAGACATATAGGGGTTACTTTTGTCGGCGGCGTCGTTGTCGTTGTCGGCGTCGTTGTCGGTGTCGTCGTCGGTGTCGTTGTCGGTGTCGGCGTCGGCGTCCCCTAAAGCTTGTCCGGAGCATAAGTCAGTCATTATAAGTCGGATTGACTTCAAACTTGGTATGCATGCTTCTCATAATGACCTGAAGTGCAGTGCACAAGAACCAGTACTCTGTACTCCTTATTTTTTGAGTTATTGCCCTTTGTTTATTTTCATACTTTATTTTTGTCCAGGCCATTTCTCCTTAAGTATAAAATCTATGGACTTGAAACTTCATAAGATGATAGATCTCATTAAGAAGAAGTGCAGTGCACAAAAACTGGTACTCTGCATTTCTTATTTTTTGAGTTATTGCCCTTTGTTAATTTTCATACTTTATTTTTGTCCAGGCCATTTCTCCTAAAGTATAAAAGCTATGGACTTGAAACTTCATAGGATGATAGATCTCATTAAGAAGAAGTGCAGTGCACAAGAACTGGTACTCTGCATTTCTTATTTTTTGAGTTATTGCCCTTTGTTAATTTTCATACTTTATTTTTGTCCAGGCCTTTTCTCCTAAAGTATAAAAGCTATGGACATGAAACTTCATAGGGTGATAGATCTCATTAAGAAGAAGTGCAGTGCTCAAGAACTGGTACTCTGCATTTCTTATTTTTTTAGTTATTGCCCTTTGTTAGTTTTTTTACTTTATTTTTGTCCAGGCCATTTCTCATAGATTATAAAAGCTTTAGACTTGAAACTTATTAGGATGATAGATCTTTTGATAAGAAGTGCAGTGCACAGAAACTGCTGATCTGCATTTCTTATTTTTTGAGTTATTGCACTTTGTTAATTTTCATACTTTATTTTTGTCCAGGCCATTTCTCATAAATTATAAAAGCTTTAGACTTGAAACTTAATAGGATGACAGATTTTATTGATAAGAAGTGCAGTGCACAGAAACTGCTGATCTGCATTTCTTATTTTTTGAGTTATTGCCCTTTGTTGATTTTCAAATTTCATTTTTGTCTTTGCCATTTCTCTTAAACTATATTGTTCACAAGGCGACACATCCGACTCGCGGAGTTCTAGTTACTTCAATGATATGATTTTTCTACCCCACCCCTTTTAAGCTCAATGACAGTAATTTAAAATTTTGATTGCATCAATACAAACCTATTGTTTGGATATTCTTACAAGATAACATTTTAACAAACAAAAATGTTGATAAGTTTGAGTTCTAAGGGATTTAGAGTGAGCATTTATATGATTAATAATGATATTTTGTTCTAGAACAATTTATTATCTGCTTTACATGAGTATGTTATACTAGATCATGTATGTATGTATCTCACACAACAATATTCATATATAATTATTTGGTGGTTTGTTGTCACACAAAACACTAAATACTATCAACATAATTATCATAAGTATTAATCTTTTGTCTTGAACTTACATAATTATTAATGGTATAACATTATTTCCATTATGGAGCAAAATCACTTTAATACGATTTGTTTAGATAAATTGATATGAGTCTGGGGTGAATGTGCTAGCTATAATACATTATTTTGTATTCCAGGAGAGAATGAAGGTTGCTTGTGAAGTACTGTCACAAAAACTTCCAGAATCAGTGAAGTATATAAAACCAGAGGGAGGTTTCTTTATATGGCTGGAGTTACCTGCCCATGTTGATGCCATGGAACTTTTGCAGCTTGCTGTGGACAAATATAAGATTAACTTTATATATGGTGCAAGGTGAAAATATATGAACTGTCTTTTACTTTCTAAAAATAGTTAAAATAAAATAAACATAAAAAAAACACCAAATATTTTGTAAAAATATTTAATCATTGAAATATTTGACAAAAAGAAATAGAAATATGAAATAATTGATAGGAAAAAAGCAAAAAAAAAATAATTTGGAGGGATCATTTTATTTGCAAGTTTCATAACTATGGCATCCATTTTTAACTTTTCATTGCTATTCACTAAGGAACACCCGGTAATTTAGGGTCTCAATAGCCAAGTGGTTAAGGACTTCCAGACTAAGGACGATTTGCCCCTCACAGCTGTGGTTTCTTATCCAGTCAGGGCTCTTTGGCTTCTTTCATGTGAGGAAACTATCCAGCTAACTTACGGGAAGGTTGATGGTCATACTAAGGTTCTTACTCATGCCTGAAATAATGTCTGAAGAGGCACCAGAGTGAAGTGGTCTCTCCACCAGTAAAGCACTATATGACCTGTACAGTGTATGTGTGACTTAAATCAAACAAAACAAACAAATTTACTTAAAAATGTCTTACAATGTATACTTTTAAATTAATATCTTATTCACCAAAACACATATATTTTCTACATTTTCAACTGTAAAATCAATTATTATTTTTTTGTTTCCATATTTACAGCACATCACCAACAGGAAGTTGTAAGAACTGTGCCAGGTTGTCTATAAGTTTCTGTAACAAGTCACAGATACAAGATGGTGTCACAAAGTTCTGTGATGCACTGAAAGAAATGATGAACACTTAAATTGAGACCATTGAAATAGATTATTTTAATGTGAATCAATCAGCTATATACTCAAGTGCAATAGTAACATGAATTAAAAATGTTGTGATAATTTGTTTTAACCTAAATAGTTAGGGATTTTATATTAATTAGATTTTATAACCGTTGTAGATTCAAATCTTGCTGCAGCTTTAGATTCATTCTTATAAGGAAGCCATGTAGCTTGCTGAAATAAGGTTGATGGTTTTACTTGAGTGTCTGCATATGCCTGAAATAATGAAAGGATGGGCACATGAGGTTTTCCTACATCAGTATAGCTGCAAAGACATTGTAAAATCTTTACAGTATCGATATGACTTTAAACTTTTCCTTTCCATTTAATTTATCAAATATGTTGTACTATTTTCTCAAGAGTTCGAATTGATATTGGTTATAGACTTTTTCTGTTTTCTGATTTATTACAGAGCTAGAAAATAAAGGTGGAAGAAAACCATTTGAGCAGCGTCACGACAAAACCAACATAATGTGTTTGCGACCAGCATGGATCCAGACCAGCCTGCGCATCCGCGCAGTCTGATCAGGATCCATGCTGTTCGCTATCAGTTTGTCTACCTGTTATAGGGTTTGTAAACGAACAGCATGGATCCTGATCAGACTGTGTGGATGCTAAGGCTGGTCTAGATCCATGCTGGTCGCAAAACCATTATGTTGGTTTTATCATGACACAGATTTTTATGATTTATTGCCAATAGATGTTATCTGGAACTAGGCAAATGTGGATTTTCCCCAGTCTAATCTCGAGGTACAAAAATAAACTTGCTGTTTTAGCTTCATAGTGCACTACCTTCACATAACTTTTAAAGAGAGATGAATGTACACGTGTTAGGCTGATAAGCTTTATTATTAGATTGTATATCAAGTAAGTTAAAATGTAGTTTGAACCTTGGAATTAGATGTGGTAAAAAACCCACATATGCTGAAATTCTGAGTATCTTCATGTTACATTATTCCAGGCGCATTTTACTATGTATCTTGGTAGAACAAAAATCTTCAATTATCACTATATTTTTTTAGCTCACCTGAGCACAAAGTGCTTATAAGTCAGCTTTTTCAATGGCTATTTGTCCAATTTCCATCATTATCCACAGTTTCTTCAAACTACACCCCCTAAACTACCTGATGGAGTGTGACCACATTTCACAGGAATGATCTTTAGGTGGTCCTCTACAAAAGTTTTTTTGTGATTCATAAGTTGGTCACAGAAGCTAAAATAATGATCTCCTCAAAAATTCCAGTGCCCGGAGCTAAGTCAGCTTAGATATATGGCATGTAGCGTCTCTTTTTGGTTCCTCCGCAAAAGTTTTATAAAGCATGCCCCTGGAGTCAAAATGACCCGCCCCAAGGGTCACTTTGTTGGTATGTAGCATCACCTTTACTTATGGACCTCTACAAAAGTTATATAAATCATTGCCCTGGGATCATAATTAGTCCTGCCTCGGAGGTTCACTTAAATTATAGAACAAAAATTATACACAGTCAAATTATAGACAAATTTATCAGATGTAGAAACAAAATAATATAGTATGAATATTTCTACTGATAATCTTGCCTTAGTTCTACCTTTCAATATAACTATATCATTTACTTGTAAAAGATAAAACTTTGTAAATTTATAGCCTTAACTTTTGACACTTTCACCACATTTATTTCTTTGTTGCTACACACTAACACATTGGTGCAATCGTCACTTTTTTCAATAGTTCAGTTCAGAGTATAGATTGACTAGATTGTTAATATGAAAAATATCATAATTCGTCAACATATATGTTAGCAGTTTTAATTTTTGTTTTTCCTTTTTCAAATTGGATTTCATAATTAGTAAAATGAACTGAGTTTTCAGGTGGCACATATACTATACAATACAAAGTATTAACATTGAAATGTATTTATTTTGTTTACATACAGTGTACACAAATTTTCTTTATTTTTGTAAGAGTAACTGTTAATTTCATACTTGTTGTAATTATTTACTAGCCTAGTTCCTCTATGAAAATGTATTTATCTTTTCATCCAGTTATTTTATGTAATTCTTTTCGAAAATTATTATATATGCTATTTAAAATAATTACGTTTATACATACAAATGCACATGTTTTATTGTATAAACAGTAATAGACGTTTTATGTTATTATAATAAATATTATAACATTTCTTTTACGGCCAAATGTGGCGTTTATTAATTAACGTAGACGTCTATTTTGTATGTTTACGTCATTTCCTTTATATATCAACTGACAAAGCTAATAAAGCGAAGCATGTATTGATATTTAAACTTGTGTTGGTTTTGATTTATTTGTCCTATCTTTATTTTTGTAGTAATTTTCACATAATATCATTGAGACTAAATAATGTTTTTATTTGATTTTAAAGGTACTTAAATTATGTCTTTAGAAATAAGTCTGTCAATTACAGTCTGTCCCAGCACATTTTTTTTTATAGAAAATATACCTTTTTCTAAGACTTCTTTAAAATTGAAACAGCTGTAACCTATCAAATATGAAGTGGAGATAAAATTATAATAGGTAGGCCTATTCTATGAATATTCTTATTCATATAACAGGTAGCTGAAAGAGTTTCTTCATTTTATCTGAATTTATAAATTGTCTATCAAAGTCATTTATCAATATTTATATATTATTATATTCATAATGAATAAGAAATTAGTATGTATAAAAAACATATATCATTAGGACACATATTTTATAGTGCAGAACTAAGTTACTAACACCTTAGTACTTATATAATATTTGGCACCAAGCAGAAGATTAAACACACTAGATGTCATCCATAGGACATATTGCCTTTTGAGTCATAAGATAAACATAAGGCAGATTACCGTTTGGATCATATGACAGACATATGACAGATTGCCGTTTGAGTCATAAGGCAGATAAAGGAAAGTTTGCCGTTTTAGTCGTAGGACAAATTCCCGTTTAGGTCATAAGGCAGACATATGACAAATTGCCGTTTGAGTCATCAGACAGACAAAGGACAGAATGCCGTTTGAGTCATAAGGCAGATAAAGGACAGATTGCCGTTAGAGTCATAAGGCAGATAAGGACAGATTGCCGTTTGAGTCATAAGGCAGATAAGGACAGATTGCCGTTTGAGTCATAAGGCAGATAAGGACAGATTGCCGTTTGAGTCATAAGGCAGATAAAGGACAGATTGCCGTTTGAGTCATTAGACAGACATAGGGCAGATTGCCGTTTGAGTCATAAGGCAGATAAAGGACAGATTGCCGTTAGAGGCATAAGGTAGATAAGGACAGATTGCCGTTTGAGTCATAAGGCAGATAAAGGACAGATTGCCGTTTGAGTCATTAGACAGACATAGGGCAGATTGCCGTTCGAGTCATAGAACTTATATATTATCGTTTCCATAACTCTCATACTTTCACAACTATTCCATGAAGTTGTGTCATATGTATAAATGCCGACTGATTTCTTATCATTTTACTAACATCTGTTGTGCAATAAAATGTTGTTCTATGTCCCAGGTAAAACTCTTTCTTCACATGAGCGTATAGCCTTTTCCCTACATTTCGCTACTTCATTTTGTTGTTACATTGGGTCTATATGAAATGATGTATACATAGAATCGGCAAGCTATTGATTCAAAAGCGATAATTAAAGTAGGCCTTGCTTAGCAATACATATGCTGGATTTTAAAGTGTTTGGTATAGACCATTTTACAACGCGGTCCGTTGCTATAAAAAATTGTAAGAAGTATTTACTCGTGCATGCGCAATCTTCGTAGGGCAAAAAAGAGCATCGCCCTACATAGAAATGTAAGAGATGTTCATAGACAATTCCGAGTTAGTTTAATGTAAAAATTAGAAAATCATATCAAAAAGCTTTTAAAATAAACACAAAAGATGCCATTGTAGCTTTGTGGACAAGATTGCCATGAAAAGGCATGGAAAAGACGATAGTAAAAGAACCCCCCTTACGATGATGCGGATAACGGACCTGACATTGAGATAATTGTTGTAAAAAAATGTGGAATAAATATATACATGAATAAACAAAAAAGAAGTCAATTTAATTGTTGTTGAAATCGTCCATATGAAATCCTAAGAAATTTTATAACATATATTATTATAAAATCGAGGTTAATTATATCATGGAACACGTAAAAATGCATTTTTATATTTCGATTTACCTAATCTCATCCTTTATACGACTTGACTGTGATGTCAAACAGAAGTTTTTAAGTCACATAGAAGCTATATATTTAAATATGTTTTCAAACTCTTGAGAAGTTAACATGAGTGGTGAAATAACACACATTTTATCCGGTTCCTCCACGAATTTATATTACAAATGTAATACAAGAAAAGCATTGATGCAAAGCATCAAAGGGCGTCCAAGCAAGAAATGCAGAAAATGAAGATGAACTAGTAGACATATGATGTCAAGATATTCTTATAAACTTTTCAATGGTTAATTGGTTTTTTCCAGAATGAACGGACGGAAGACATATTGTTCATTATGAACTTTGATTGGCATGCTAGAGATTAGAATATTACTTGTTATTTCTTTATGATCGTGATTATTAATAGCAACGGATATACATGTATACAATCATTTATAATCCATATGTGTAACGCATGATCAACACCACACTTGTGGAATTGTCCCTTATTATGTAATCGCTATTAGCGAAGACCCCCTCTTAAGGTATCTGTTCACACTTAGTAAAAATATGACACTGGTTATATAACCATGTCATGTTGAGCATTAATTATTGTTTATTATACAATAATTGTAATATCTATTTTAATAACAAAAATACAGATTTTATGATTTTTCCTCTCTTTTTGGTGTTTTTATGTGCTATTTTGATACTGAGTTTTTTACGTTTACTACTCTTTTTTTTATTAAAATTGTAAAATTTTAAGAATTCAATTGTCATATTGACCGACGATTATAAGTCAAAACTTAACTGGAAATAGTCAGTAAATTATGGTTAATCTTTCAATATATAATATTGTTTATTCTTAAACCATATACATGTACATTTGTATTTTTCTTTATCATTTTTTAAATTATCAATCAATTAAATAATTAATAAAATTTAATTTGTAACTTTGAATAATTCCTCGGCATCTTTACTAAACACGAATAACAAATTAAATAAAATGTTTCAAAGTTGATATTGTCATATTAAAACCATAAAAATGTACCTTTTTCACAATTATTGTACATATTTATTGTTTTTATCTCATATAGATAAAATGAAACATGCTATTGTTGTTGTTGTTGTTGGTTTTTTTTTTTTCGAATTGTATGTTTATGTATAATAATAATCAATAAATTTGAGAGTTGATCTATGTTTATTAATTATTGTTACCAAACTAAGTGACAAACATTCATTTTGGAAAAAAAGCTTATTTATCTGTAAAATATTTGTTCTGTTCAGTAACGATATCAAACATCTACTCCAAAACCGGGAGAGACCGGACAATAAACGTGTGGTCACTAGTATCCCGGTCAAAATAGACCGAGAGAGACCGGAATTACCGATAGGAGTACATCCCTCTATAAATAGATTTTCGGAATATTTAGGTCATCAACTCATCATTCTGTTTTAACATACCATGATAACCCACTGTGTACTACAAAATGATAAAGACGGAAAAGGTTATTGCATTTGAAAATGTTTGCATTGCGAAATCCTCCAGTTCGCTATTCATTGTACATATCGCGACATTTCATTTTTAATTAATAATAATCAAGCACCCTCATACCGATCGGAATGATCGGCTTTTATTATGACCGACTAAAAGGCTCGAGAAGTTGCTGTCGCCCTTTCACAAAATCTGATTTCATTCCATAAAGGGACGCCGCGCTACGGCGCGGACGCCAATAAATCCGTGGTTCCTCGTAACACATGAAAATGCACGTCACGTACACTATTTGTCACTTCACATTGCACAATTAATAAACATTGATGAGAATGGTATAAATAAAAGTAACTTAATTACGATTTTCATAATTTTAAGTGATTAACTATGTCATGATACTAAAACGTCCCGGTTGAATGATATTTTAACAAGCTGGCAAAGAACAACCGGTCACGTGCCA